TCCTATTACTACCTGGATTTCTGGCACATGTGACTAGACATGTAACTAGGACATGTGACCATGCACATCATCTCAGGGAAGGAAAACGCCTTTCCCTGAGATCTTGTGAGATTACAGATGAGATTTCCTAGCAATGCTCTGCTGATGACAAGGCAATTCCAGTGTGCACTGCGTTGGCAACCTGAAGTAATTTTGCCCTTTCAAAGCAGGAAGTGAATGCTCTGCAAGTGTAAGTATTTCACATGAAAGCATTTTACATCATCTGACATGTCTGTTATTATTAATCATCCTACATTAGAGGGATGCATTGATAGAATTTGATTTTTGAGTGTAAAGGTCCGCTTTAATTCTTGCAGTGGGGCTACCCCAACACTACAAGAACTAACTGTTGGTTTTCTCTAGGGAGTGAAAATAAAGAACAAATACTCACCCGATCCTCAGTCCTGCCTGGGGCTGCTAGACCCGTCCCCGCAGCCTCTTCTTCCCCAGGCTCTGGTTGTCTAAGGACTCGTAATGGCATCATATCTAATACAGGTCTATTGGACATGAAGATGCCGAGAGACATACCACAGCCAGAGGGGAGGGGTAGGGAGGCGAGCAGTCATTGCTGCAGGATGGAGGATCGGATGAATAATTCTTATCGATTTTCCCCCATAGAGAAAAACTGTAAGGGAGCCCGACGGCAAGGGATAATGTTTCAAAATCCTGGAGTTCTTCTTTAAATGTTCACTACACCAAATTATACTGAGCAAAACATGAGAAACCAACAAGGTGCCCTATTGTGTCTAGAAGACTTCAAAAAAGAGGGCAGGCTTCTGGAATAGGAGGCGGGGCTTAGCCGTTAGATGAGAAATCCTCTGAGTAAGGCAATGCTACAGAACTGCTGAGTAGTGTCCTGCTACAATACAGTACTGACCATAATGAAAATGCAGTTTACAAGACCCACCTCTTTAGTACCGAGAATCAAACATATTGCATCTAATCAAAATGACATGCTTTTATATATATATTTTTTATAACTATGTTTTTCTTAATTTTAGCAAAGCCAGGTAATAGAGGATGACACCATCTATCAAAACACAAATTATACACACTGAAAGCCATAAGAAGGACAGACACTATAAATACCATTCATGTTGGAGGAGATGCCCCAATAAGTGTTTCCTAAATAAATAAAAAGCTCTGTAACTTCTTTAAAATGCATACCTCATTCCCAGCTGTAACCTGCCAAATATTTCCAGTGCTTGTTTAGATATGCATGGAAAAGAGATCAGCTTCATGCCAATGTTATCATTATACCTTCATATATATTTTTTTATGTTTAATTTGGAATTCTACATTATATGTATATGGGGGTTCCACATCTGCTCATTACTGGCTGCTGCTTCTTTTTGCAATGCTTAAATAACTTTTTTTTTAACCCTTGCAGTGGGGGGGTGGTTAAGTGCGCATTTTGGTCTAGATGCTAAGATAAAAAAAAAAAGTTATACTCACCCGAACCTTGCAGTTGGCTAGCTGTGACAGTACCTCCTCCAGCCTGTCTGCTCCTACACTCCAGTGATAGTATGTCCCTCACATCCTACACACAGTGTATTTGACGGCATGATTCAAGGATCCTTAGTCAGCTGGAGCGGAGGGGCAGACGGGCTAGAAGGACTGGTCTAACAGCCAGGCAGCTGCGAGGATCGGATGATTATGACCTTTTTTATTTTAGCACCTAGACGAAAACAAGCACTTTACCCTTGTAGTGTGGGGGTAACCCCACTGCAAAGGTTAGAAAACGTTTTTCCCGGAGTTCTTCTAGTTGTTTTACAACAGTAGGTTGGATTACTCAGAGCCTTAGCTAGCTCCTTTTGAGCCCGAGGCAAGAGCGAAAAATTGTGCCCAACAGACTGTGCGGCATGCGACGTCATGCGTCCTGCCTCCAGAATGGCGGTGCACAACTTACAATCTAAAAGGGAGGGGGAAGTGATACATGAGGAGGTAGCTATGTGGGGATGAATTGTATGAGAATGTGATGGTTGAGTGGTTAGGTTGTGGTGGGATCGGCTTCCCTGAAGAGATGAGTCTTTAGGGATCGCCTAAAGGCAGTCAAGGTGGGAGATAGACAGACAGATTAGGGTAAAGAGTTCCAGAGTTCTATGTACTATAGTAAAAATAAATATATATTTTTTGTAGTGCAGATACACTCATAATTATATTTGTAAGGTTATAAGGTTATCTATGGTCAAAAAATGAATCTGTGTTTCTATATTGCATTTCCATATGTTATTTCCCACTCCTAATAACTACAGTATATCATCCAGATGTTTGTAAACTTACTTATTGAAGATGCCCACAGGATGTACTACCTCCATGTGCTGACACAATTTTACTCTGTGAGCCCTGTGAGTATGTACGTCCTGGTGTCTCCACTCTCCCAGAGCCAGCCTTCTGAACTACAACAATGTAACATTATAATTGCTTGCTGGAAGCAATGCATGATGGGATATGGAGTCTTGAGAAATGGAGACTGCATCACATCAAGTAGCAGGGAAAGAGACGCAAAGCACACTGGAGTTGTTGGAAGTGATGGGCAGACAGAAGGCAGCACTCAGTACGTGAAAGGGTTTTTTTCACGTACACTTTGATTGTATTATCAGAAAAAAACTCAAGCATTAGACATGTAAGCCAGCAAAACATCATTAATTCTGATATTCTGGAACTGTACCTTCCCATTCAGGAATAAGGCACTTTGATTCAGGAATCAGACCCTCCCATTCAGGAATCAGAGCCCTCAATTCAGGAATCAGAGCCCTCCATTCAGGAATCAGAGCCCTCCATTCAGGACTCAGAGCCCTCCATTCAGGAATCAGACCCTCCCATTCAGCAATCAGACCCCCATTCAGCAATCAGACCCACATTCAGCAATCAGAGCCCTCCATACAGCAATCAGAGCCCTCCATTCAGGAATCAGAGCCCTCCATTCAGCAATCAGACCCACATTCAGCAATCAGAGCCCTCAATACAGCAATCAGAGCCCTCCATACAGCAATCAGAGCCCTCCATTCAGGAATCAGAGCCCTCCATTCAGGAATCAGACCCTCCCATTCAGGAATCAGGCCCTCCCATTCAGGAATTTAGCCCTCCCATTCAGGAACCAGACCCTCCCATTCAAGAATCAGTTTTTAGAAAACTACAACAAAGTTGGTTTAAATCCTTGCAATGTACATAGAACACAAAGTGGGGGGGGGGGGGGGGTGTTTTGTTTAATTTATGTATATTACTATTTTATTTTATTTTTTTACTGTTGGAGGGGCTTTGGGGAAATATCAGGGATCTAAAGAGAACCCTGATATCTTCCTTTTGAAATATAAAAAGAGATTGGGGACACAGAGTCCTCTGCCCATACAGGCGGGGGAGAGCAGCGGGGATTTGAGGAGAAGCTGGAGCCTGTGCTGCTCCTCTTCTCCCTGCCGAGCCGCCTGACACCCCCATTGCCAATGGCGCCCTGTGCTCGCCATGGCAACAGGGGCGAGGCTGCGCTCTCTCTCAGATGTACCTGAGGCGAGTGCCTTACTCGCCCCATGGTAGCTACAGCCCTGGGATTACAGATGGCAATATGTGTCTAAGTTGTAGAACGAAGACGACCATGTTACAGAGGTTCCTCTAACTTATCCTAGCTCTTGGCTAGTTTAGAACTTAGAGCGACCCACCGCTATGGTTCCTGCCAATAAATAGTTGGAGTATGGTCTAGTCTCAGAATAATAGTGATTTAAATTTAGTAACATTTATTCCACAGTAGTTGTTGCTTTTTTGTGTATTTTTTTAATGCAGCAACACAAAAACAACAAACCAGAGTGAAGAAAAAAAAAAAAAAGTTTACAAACATTAAAAGATAAATGCACTCATCTTTTTTGCCCCCCAACCCTGACTTGAATGATCCCACTAACACCCCCTCGTAGATTTGTACTTAAGATCCAACGGGCAAGGCTCCCTCTGTTGGCCACTCCTGCACATTACAGCCCCACAGACTTCTATGTGGGGCCATCCCACATAGGAGATGAACGAGGCCAGGAGTGGGAGACTTGCAATGCTGGATGTCAACAAACAGCAGAGCAGTGGCCCTTGGATCTTTGTCTAAAAGTGAGCTTATTTTTTTTACAGAAAGAAGAAGAAAAAATAGCTAGGGGAAGCTGTGAAGGAAGGTTTTAATAGAAAATAATTAGAGTCAAAGGATAAGTGTTAATCCCAGCTGTCCCTACCTATTATAACTATACCCCCTTTTTACTTGCCTTAGATTAACAGGCAACCCAATTTGGGAGCTGTGGCTTAGGCTGGCCATACACCTATCAATATTTTTTACCCGATTCCTCCATCAACACAAACAATCGAGGAATCCCGCTGTTTACATTGTATTCTGACAGGTTCCGACAGGTGCCGGAATACCCGATCAGAGCGGGCAGCTCATTGGCTGCCAGCTCTGATCACTCGAAAATTTTCCAGCAGGCTCCTTTGATCAGCCGATAGAGGAATGCCGACTGAAAGGGAGCCGACAGCCCCACACACTGTGCAAATTTCAGCCGCAACATTAAAAACTCGCCGCAATTCGACCAGTGCACCTTAACAATGGAAAGTGCTTCAAACCTATTCTGAAGCCAGCAGGGCCATATGGTACTTGTGTGGCTTTTCTCCACAGGTCCTAATGGAAAAGCTGTCATTGCTCCTGATACACAAAGTGGGACTGTCTGACAGCCAAACCCTGCATATTACATCCAGAGAGCAGCTCCCCTGCTGTAATCTGCAGCTAGCCTTGCAGTGCATATCAGAAGCACTGACTTGATAAACAGAGTTTGTGGTTGTCACAATGCTAGCTAAGACTTGCCAGTGAGTGCAGCAAGAAACTGAAACACAGGCAGAATCCGCTTGTCTTGAAACTAGAAATGGGCCTTAAGATCAATGTTCTCTATATAAAGAATGTGTGCACAATCTATGAATGTAAGTAACAAACACACACTTACCATTTTCTACATAAGGGTGGAAAGGCAGGACTAGGGCAAGTATAACACGGCCTCGGGTTGGCTCAAGGACACTTCTCATTTCCTTCAATAAGGTGACAGGCTGGTGGCATCGGTCAAGGAGGTTTAAACAGCTAATGACGTCATACTGCAATCCTGTCCTCTGCCATTCATCAATATTTAGCACTCTACCAAAAGAAAGAGCATACATGTTTCTAACATCACTGCATTAACAAAACTGCAGACATGATAAAGTTTTACATAACGTGTAATACTTCTCCTGTTCTGAACAAAATACTACCCTAGATTTCCTTGTTGGCATGTCACATGATTGAATGCCTGGGCAGTAGTTATATGAGGTCAACTGAAGAGGACAGCTCTACTCAAGCATCAGTTCCCTAACCCCCTTCACGAAGACTGCACCTTTTTTCAGGATCAGTAAGTATCAAGAGGGCAATTTGTTACTATGTATAATTGTAAGGGGGCAGGATGGTCGGGGCAGGATGGTCGGGGGCGGGTGGTCGGGTAAATCTGCTAAGGAGCCCTGTTAAGCTCAACAGATAATTATCTCAAACGCTGATATTCTTTAAAGTAAACCAAAACAGCAAAACAAACAGCTGATATGTTTGTGACTCTGGGATATGAAGCAAAGGGAAATCTCCCTGACAGAGGTTTTAATCACTCTCCACGCTTTTCAAAACAGAAAACATTCAGATGTACTGTATGTGAAGCCACATCAATATAAACATTCAGGCCATAAACCCAATGCAATATTTTTATACATTTATTTTTGTTTGTTTTTTCTACCACATAACTGCAATTCTCTATTCATGCTATGGGCGAGACCCTGGGCTGCAGCGTCCAGCTAGAGCTCTCTTAAATTGTATGTAAACCCTAACAAATGAACTTATTTGCTTCCTTTTGGTCTGCCAAATATACCATCGAAAGTGTTTGTTATATCAGTTTATACAGTGCAAAAAAAGAAAAGAACTGTTGATCATGTCAGAAATTCAGGGCTCTGCACACTTCCTGTGTTATCTCAAGGAGTCGAATTAGCCCTCGCAGTTCTTATCGTGGACTACAGAATGATCAGCATAATGTGTAAGTGTGACCTTTGTTTTTAATGGATTTTTCTGTTTTTAACCCCTTCATGACTGAGGCCCTTTTTTCATTTTTTGCACCAGAAGTAAACAAAAATGAGCTCCGTTTTATTTGGACTAGGTCTAATCCATTATTTTTACTGGAAAAGGATAGAAAAGAGTTTTCTCAGGGAGACATAATGGGGGCTATTTATAAAGTAGTGAATGTCACTGTCACCAAACATTCACTGGTGGTCAATCACTGTAATTTAAAACACAAGCCCTTGGAAGATTCACCTGCAGTTGAGGTCCGATTCACTGTTTTAAAAACAATTTCACTTGATGGTTCGTTTAGGTTTTTTATTTGAATGAGTGACAGCAAGAGCTACAAACGCTGCGATTCCTGGAAGGAATTGGGTGTCTGAAATAACTTAACAGTTTCATGAATGGATGCCTCTATACAGTATAGAGGCATCCATTAATGAATGGTAACCGGTTAGCAGCATTGTAGAGCCGCAAATAACTGGTCACGTACAGTTTACATGGTGTTCGTGGTGGGATGTACAGTGTACGTCTCCCGTCATGAAAGGGTTAAAAAATGGTCATCTCACTTGAAGGTTTGTTTAGGCTGGTTACATGTTTTGGGGGATATAGACTCCCCCTACCTCAGGGCTTGAGCAACAATAAGTAACGAGTTCAGAAAAAGCTGGGGCTGGAATAAGGCCCCATTCACACCTATGCGTATTGTAATATGCGCGTCTGTCGCGCGACCGTCACGCGGTTTTTTACCGCGATTTGCGGTAAAAAAGTCGCGCGACCGTCGCGCGATTCCAAAGGCTACTTGGCAGTATACAAATGGAAAACGCCTTACAAAACGGACCAATACGCAGCAAAAAACGCTCCGGGACCTTTTCATGCATGGGCCGTTTTGTAGTGCGTTCGGGACGGGCGGAAATACGGACAGGTGGGAACGATACCATTGACTACAATGCTATTTATTTTTTTGACAGTTTTGTAGAGCGTTCATCGAGCGTAGGACGCGCTACAAAACGGTCAGGTGTGAATGGGGCCTAAGGGCTGGATGAGTGCCGAGTTGACACTCGTGACATGCTCGCAGTGAGGACTGCACGCGTGGTCTGCATCTGATATTTCCATTCAAATAAAAAACCTAAACGAACCATCAAGTGAAATGACCATTTGGTAATAAGTGCTCTTAACCACACATCCAGGTCTTTATTTAAGACGGTAACAAGTGTAAACAGAGGGAAAAACAATGATTTTTTATACAAAATGATGAGTACATTATAGGAAGAATTAGACACAACTTTGTAGACACGCACAGTACTTGGAAACACAACCCATACCTGTACTTTTTCTTCTGAAGTTGCCATATCATAGTCTGGGACATCTCGGTCACATAGGTCTCCTCAAAGTGCGGGCTCATAACTTTTGTCACTTCACCGTCTCCTGCTCCCAAATCTAGCAGCCTCTGGGATTTCCAGTCTGGGCTAACTCTGAGAAGTCTCTGGAATTGTTCTGTTGAAAAGACAAACATGGACCCCCGACCCAGCAACCTAATGGGGGAAGAGAAAAGAGAAAGTCAGGCCACAACAGGAATAGCGTGGAAATAAAAGAAAAACTTTAGGGTGAAACCTAATTAGCCATAAACAAAAGCTTTAAAAGTATGCAGCAGCCCTGATACATTTTTGGGCTGGTATACAGGCTATATGTGTGAAGCTGACTAGGATCGATCTCAAGAATGACCCGGCTGCTGTCCCCCTCAATTTGTCTGGCCTCTCACGGAACAGGTATAGACTATCTCTGCTGATACACCTGCTCAATGCAGCTAAAATGTGCATCCCCCTGCATTGGAAGTCAACCACTGCTCCAACCATGGCCATGTGGATCTCGAAAGTCCGGGAAACGGAGATGGTGACAGCCTCCCTACACCACCAGGAAACGAAATTCAATAAAAGATGGTTCTATTGGCACGAATACCTCCTCTCCTCAGAGGCTCCTCTGATGCCTTGATTATGTCTCTCGGCTTCACAAATTGCCTGAGCTGAGCACTGTTCCATACCTCCTAATGGATGGATGGCCTACCCCCCAACCCCCCCTTTTTTTCCTCTTATTCCACTCTCTCTTCTTAACTTTTCTACTTTTCTAGAAATACTTATTTGTTTCCCATAGCATTGTTTGACTGCTAATGCCTGCATTTTTGGGACACCAAGGACAGATTAATAAAAAAAAAACAAAAAACAAAAACAAAAAAAAACAACACATGTTTAGCAGCAGTTGTTAACACTACCTTTTCACACGCCTGTTTCAATACATACAGTGAATGTTTTATAGTGTTCATTCAATGGCGGTTTTTGCCAATGTTTTTTATAACATGACTTCACTCGTTACTGCCCAAGCTTTATGGATAATATACTTCTGCTACTTGTGTCTAAAATAAAGAATTATAAAAAATAAAAAAAAGTATGCAGCAGAAGCAATAGTCAAAAGTCATTCAGGTGCAATTGGGAAGATTCACCCTCTATTTGTCCCGTGACTTATCACTGAAACTGAAGGAAAATCCCAAATTTTGGTTTGTTTTCAGAACAGGAATAGATTGGAAATCTTCCAATAGGGAAAGTGGTTCTGGTGGAACCTGCTCGATTTCCCTCAACTTTCGGTTGTATCTATTGGACAGGAATTGAAGCGAAAACTCCCCAATGACACAAACATGCTCTTTCAGCAACTCAGCAGTCACTGCTCGCCCTCCCACCAGTAACTTAGCAGCCCTCCAACTCTTTGAGCTCTGGGTGAAGGGAGCTGCTGAAAGGAGGATTGGGGTGCCTCTGTTGTAAATTTTGAGGGATAACTGCTAAACAGTGAGGGTTGTTTTTTACAGCGAGGACTGCTAGGAGGTGGTGACTTTTGCACTTTGCATGTCTCTTTTGCCAAAGAAAAAAACCTCCGCCCTTAGCAAATTTTGTTTTACGGTCTGTGGAGAATGTGCACTTTGGTGTATATTCCAAGCATTTGAGATTGAAGCCAGATGTTGGGACAATACTAGTGATGCACTGAAATTTCGGCCGCCGAAACATATCACCCAAAAATGGTACTTTGGGTAAAATGTAGAATATACAATTTCTTTGGGCGAAATTGCGGTGCATGTCTAGTTTCTCTCCTTTCCGTTGGGCGCTGCTCGGTGTCCCCTCTGACACAGAGTAGAGTGAAGTGGGAAGGAGAGAAACTGTCAGGAGGTCGAGCAGGGCAGGGAGGAGAGCCCTGCCAGCACTGTCAGAGGAGGCTGAACTCTTCTCCCCGCCCACCCTCGGCCTCCTGTGACAGGCAGATCAGGATGGAGAGCGGTGCGGGGAGGAGACAACTGTCACAGGAGACCAAGCTCTCCTTCGCCAGCGCCCGCTCAGTCTCCTGTGACAGCGGGTCAGGATGGAGAGCGAAGTACAAGTGCTCAGCTATCAGTGATCTCTGAGTGTTTGTAAATAATTGATGACCTTATGTTTACTGTGCCCTAATTATGAATTAAAAGGAATTGCTCTAAATCACTTCCTGTTCATTCATGATTGTGGACATGGTAAGCATATGGAAATGTTATGAATGGAAAGGAACACTAAGTATAGAGGCTTCCTGTTCATTTATAACAGGGGCTGCAGAAAAAGAGATTGATGACACTGTGTCCTCAATCTCTTTTTCTATTTTTAAGGGGAAATATCAGGTATTTGTTTAGACCCCTAAAATTCCCCCAGAACCCATCGAAGGTAAAGTACAAACATTTCTATGAAATATTTTAAAAATTATTTTAAAAAGGTTAGAAAAAAAATGTATTTTCAGTTTCGGCCTGACAAATGTTTTTTATTTTCGGTTTGACAATTCTGTTTCAGTGCACTTCTAGAAAATACAACTCCGGGGGCATGGCCTAGCAATGGAGCCGTAGAGACGCGCGAGTACTGAGCTCTGCTCCCGAGTATACCCAATACAGCTAACTGACTGCAGCTACCACACAGCAACTAGTCGCCTCACCAAAACTCAAACTTAACAGACGAAGCTGCCCCGCCTGACCCCAGAGGAAGCAGAGGACCTAGAGTCGAACTACTCTACATATTCCAGACCCTGCCAGTGCACATCCCAATGACATTTGTGAAATTAGTGCGGAGAGAGTTTGCCTCCTTTCTATGGGCGAATGGTGCCCACAGATTAAACAAATCCTTAATGGCGCTGCCCAAGTCTAGAGGGGGGGGGATCGGCTTCCCGGATCCCATTCGCTATCATTTGGCTGTGCACATGGCAAGAGTTTTTGAATGGTGCAACGTGTCTTCAGATAAACGCTGGTTACATATTGAGCAGTCAGCCTCCCCCTTGCCAATGGCGGGACTGCTATGGACTACATCACCCCTTCCTAGGGACATACTTCAACACCCGCTGACGGGTGTCACGATACGCGTGCTTAAGATGGCTCCCGCAGCACTCCCTGACAGTGCCTCCTCTATAATGTACCTGGTCGTGGGTGATCCTGACTTTGCCCCTAGCCTAGAAGACAACTCTTTCAGACGCCTGGTGGAATCAAATCGCTTTAAGATCGGACATTTCCGACCTCTGCAAGACTTCCTCAGCCTAGATTCACTTAGTGGGGGTTTAGTCACCTAGTAACACCCCCACTGCTATGCTGGCAAGCCCTACAGCTACGTAGCTTCCTCACTAAACTTAACGCCTCTGCGCCTCCACGCACAGAATTGACACCGTTTGAGGACATATGCTTGGAAGGCAGCTATGTAGCCCATGGTCTGTCCAAGGCCTACGCCCTGGCGACAATGCTGACGGACCACCCTGAGCCTAGTTTTATAGCAAGATGGGAGAGGGATTTGGCCACTACATTCACCCAAGATCAAAAGGACTACATGCTTCACTTTGCACACAAGGCCTCGATAGCTAGCTCAATACAAGAAACAGGATTCAAAATACTTACCAGGTGGTATTATGTCCCTACCAAGTTGCACAAAATGTTTCCTCAGACCCCTCCGACAAATACAAGCTACCCTACAAACGAAAAGAAAATCTCGCCAATGTTTGATTATTTCTGCTTTTATTGATAGTCTACATACTGTAATGTATGTTTTATAACCATGTTCTATGTATCTGAAAACTTTAAAATAAAGAATTTAAAAAAAAAGAAAATACAACTCCTCCCATATGAAATGCATCATAAATGGCCGCCCAATGGAAGAAAAGGATCAACAGAAACAAAGAAGGAGACCGGGAGACAAGATGGCGGTGGCAGGCGAGTTAAGTCTACCATAATGTGCAAGTATCCTGTGCACATTTGCACATTATGGCAAGAGCAGCAAACACACAGTTCTACTTTAAATGTCATTTACTGTTAGTTACCATATGCTGTAAAAATACTTAAATGCCAATAGCCTGAGCACAGGTTTACTTTACTGTATGTGTACTTTTATTTTGGATAGATTATGGAATTTGCTGCCCATTTAAGAGATTTCCCTTCACTTTCTGCCCTGTAGACACAACAGGAAGTGAGAGGAAATCTCTTCAGTTAGGTAGGCACCTACCCTCAGACAGTTTTACTAGAGCAGAACGCCCCAGTATTAGACAGTTTTACCAGAACAAAATATCCCCTTCGAAAGATTTTTCCCTCTAGCCATGTTTTGCTGACAAACTAAAATTTTAAATGTACCTCTCATTTTCATTCCAGGTCACAAAGGTCACCAGAGGTTTAAAAGGAGAACTATGAGGTGAGTGCTTTTCACTCACCTCATAGTTCTAGCCGACCTGTGACAATGACTGTCACAGGTCGGCTCAGTAGATCGAGAAGTGAGCGAACAGATACTGGCGTTCGCTCACTTCTCGATCCTGTCATGGCTCTCTGCCGTGACAGGGGAGGGGCTGGATTCAGCTGGCTCTGCCTCTAGATAGGCAGAGCCAGCTGTCACTCACGCAGCTGGGCGGATCCAGACATAATTGTCGGGATCCGCTTCAGCTGCGGTGTCTCAGTATACCGCGAGCAGTAACTTGCGGTGTACTGTGGCGTCTCAGTATACTGCAAGCTGTAGCTTAGGGTGACGGGAGGATGCTAGTTTGTGTCCTCCCGTTACCCTAAGGAGAACTATGGGGAAAAGCCTTAACCCCATAGTTCTCCTTTAAATACCTCACTACTCCATCCAAAAATCATCTCAAGCCTAATATTCTTAAAAGGGTAAGCAAAATTGTATGTGCAGGTGAAGCCTGGTAAGTGAATTAAACCTCTGGCCTTTTATGTCTTGAGATACTCCACACGGAGAGATCTTCCTGCGAGAGTTACCCACTCCTATCCCAACTGAGATTTTGTATGGTCCCACCCGAGATTTTCGATGGCCCCTTTGCCAACAGGAAGAGAGAGACTCTCCCATAGTGGCTACAGCAGGTATGCAAACTCAGGAACTCAAGCTTGGAGATCTCAGCAATACAGTCTACAAGACTTATAAGAAACGTTGGTGTCTCCTTTCCCTTCACTACATTCTATGTTCAGTCCATAGACTAGCACACTGGAGGGCCCAATCACACCACGTGTGTTAGGCTCAATTGCTCAATGCAGGCCCAGCAACAAGTCACAATCCATTGTTTACAATAGACTCCATTCGCACCAATTGGTTGAGTTGGTGTGCACTTTGTAAAAATAAAATATGCTGCATTTAAACGCAGCACAATGGGCAGCATTATTGATGTCTTGTTACCCTGTGACCAGCAGCAGCAAACAATAAATGAACTGTGATAGAACTTTTTTATGTTCCATCTAGGCAGAGCTTCATGTTTTTGGAGTATATTTAGCCAAACAAAAAAACAAAAAAACAAAAAAAAGGGAACTGCATAGGATGCTGAGGTGTTCCTGCCCACCCTGAACCACAAACATATTTCCTGTAAGCATTACACTGCTGCGTTAAAGGACATCTCACCAGAATTCACCGCAAAGTTCAACCTACAGTGAATCTATAGGCAAAACCTTATTTTTTAAGTTTGAAAAAGAGTAGGGACAGGTTAACCTGTCTTTACCTCAAGTCCTTCACTTTCCCTTCACTTCCTGTCTCAGATATAGAACAGGAAGTGAGAGGGAAAACTATTCTAAAATGAATGACAGTAGCCAACAGAACAGATGTCAACACTGGAAGATTTCCCCACACCTCCTGTTTTCGCAACTGTAAAATTCTGGTTCCCCATTGCTTACTGTCTTGGTGACAATGGTCACATGACAAATAGAGAGCATGCATTTTCCTAGGGGTTGCAACAAAACCAGGGCTCTATGTGTTCCGTACGCTATACAAAAGCAAAGAAAAATGTTGGCTATAGATCCGCTATAATACACAGTATATCATACATTTCAGGGGTGTGAAATTCGTATATATCGCCCGACGCCCGGGACATGTAGTTCCGGGGCGCCGGGCAAGTGGTTTTTTCACTGTTTTAGCCCTTCTACGGACAAGTAGCAGTGCTGGTTTTCTTCTCTTAAATGAGCGCAGAGAGCGGTGCTGCGAGCAGGGGGCCTGGAGCCCCGAGAGCGGGGGCCGTGGACGGACGTGGAGCTACATACATAGTTACATAGTATTTGAGGTTGAATAAAGACATTAGTCCATACTCTGGGTGGGGACGCAGCGTAGAGCGCTGAGAGCAGGGACAGAGCGGGGGGCGTGGAGTAGTGATGGAGCAGTGACAGGCTCCGTCACCTCCCTCAGCCTCTGTCCCTGGCGGCCGCTGCTCGTTCCTGTCACAGGAGTTCTAGTGACAGGAACGTGCGTGACAGGGTCAATAAAGAGAACCTGTCACCCCCAAAAGCTAATCACACAGGGGATTGTTTAAAAAATAATAAAAAATGTAACTAAATAAAAATGTTAAAAATAAAAAGACGATAAAGTAAAAATAATAAAACAAATAGTTTTCAACTGTGATCGTGTGCAACCGCACGGGCAGGGCGGTATTGCAGCAGGAAAATGCGCAATCTGCCTGCCACGACTGGGGTGCCATTAGAAAATAATGGCACTGCCAGCGCGATCAGCAGTGGTGTGGGATCCGTGACTGCCCTGTCATCATGCACGAAACCAAGCGGATGGCTGGGTGGTCACGGAATCGCACACCACCGCCGATCGTGCTGTCAGTGCCATTATTTTCTAATGGCACCCCAGTCGTGCCAGGCAGATTGCGTGTTTTCCTGCTGCAATACCGCCCGGGCGATCACACACGATCACGGTTGAAAACAATGCGCGGTGCATGTCGTGAAAATAGGTACATCTCCCTTTTTTTCAGTGAACGGTCCTTCCCGTCCACCGGTACGGGTGTACTATCTGTACCTGTTCCACGTATTCTGAAGTTTGTTCGCAAATTGCAAGCACTCGTTGGTCAACGCGGTCACCTGACGGTACTGACCAATGAGAATGCTTCTTAGCACTGCTAAATACGGTTTTGGTTAAAAAATTTTTTTTTGTATCAGGACAAGTAGATTGGGCCCCCGCTTTAGTCCTTGGACAAGTAGTTTTTTCAAAAATGTCCACACCCCTGCATTTACAATTGTACTTTAGGCTTGAGTATGGTGGGAGGCGTTTAAAGAAGGTACAACTTACCCATTGATGGAGGTTCTGGACATAAACATGCTGAAGACAGAAGACATGAAGGAATGATACAACTGGATAGAGAGCCAGCCGGATTTCTCAATACTCCTGTCAAGAAACGTCTGGGTCCCGTCGTCTAGGTAACTCTGAACAAACATCGGCCTTAGAGCTTCGCTTAAGTTCTGAGTATCACATACGTACCACTGAAACAAAAAGAACAAAGCATTTTAAAGACCCTGAAACAAGAACTATGATCATTGTGTAAGCCAAGAATAGGAAAGGAACAAAATCAGCTTCAGTCAGGCTATG